ATTACTCATAAAGAATCGGAAGAGGCAAACAGGTAAAAAGAACACAGAAACATAATAAAAATAACAAAGGAGTGAAAAAGGGAACAGATGAGTAATCAAAGATAAGAGTAGAATTGGAGATATGAAAGAAAAATTAGAGCACCAAAAATAAAAGAAAAGAAAAGATAAAAAAGATTTTAAAATGGCTGTGCAAAAGAAAAGAAAATAGCTCTGGCTGGTGTGGCTCAGTGGATTGAGTGCTGGCCTGTGAAACTAAGAAAAAATAGCTAAGATAATGAAAAATGAAACAAATGGCTTTGCCTCAGCGTAGTTTAGATCTTGCCTCCTGGTTTCTCCCTTCAGAGACCACTCTGATGTCTAAGTCTGCTGAAAGCCAGTGTCAGGTGCTGTCCACAGCTGGTCCTGGTCAGCGTTTTTAAAGCTACAGGTGATCCACAGTTTGTGGTTGATTCCTCCAGGCTTGGTTGCTCCCAGGGTGGGCCTAGCTGCTTTGCAAAGCTAGGTTTTATCAACACTAGGTCCAGGAGTGTCTCAGCAAATGTCCCAAGTCACCACAGGATCTGCTTCTGCCTGTCTCTCTGTCTGCTGGTCTGCTGTCAATCTTAGACTAGTCTCAGGCTTGACTATTTCTGAGAGGGTTTCTGGTGGATATAGGGGGCTGTGATTCCTGAATCTTCGATGGAAGGTGCCTTTTAGACTTCATGGAAGACGGTGGGTATGTTCCCCCTTCCCTGAGCCACTAGACTGAGTCTGTCTGGGATTATTTCCCTGTACTCCAAGGCAGGACCCTTAGTAGGTTTCCAGAGCCCAGATTTTGGGTCTGCTGGGTGCCAGGAGGGTGTTTCTGTGGCTCTCCTGTGAGGGGGAAGCACCAGTCTGTTTCCCAGGGTAGTGTATGGGTTGGCTGCCTTCTACCGCCAGTCTCTGATGACCCCTGAGTCTGTTCATGTTGTTTTCTCCTCAGCAAAGGTTAAGATGGAGGATGGGAGAAAAGGAAGGAAAATAAATAAATAAATAAATGAAACAGGAGACCAAGATAAAGCGAAATGAAAAAAGAACAAAAAATGTTGCTGAGAGCCAACAGGATTTCAGAGGTTGTAGCAAGGGGATTTCCAGAGGCTGGGCGGGGGCATGGAATCTCACTGGGAGAGGCTAGCTCTTCTCAGGAACGATGGCTGCTGTCGAGCTCAGAAATATCTGGAACCTGAATATCCCACAGTTGTTCTCCCAAGACTCTCCCCAGTGCCTCCCACTCCAGGCTCTCCTCATGCTACTCTAGTCTGCACCACCCTCCCCTCGCTGGAGCCCAGTTTAAGTAGCTGCAAACACAAAACCTGTGCTTTGTCCCTTTAAGGAAAAAAAGATGGTGGGTTTGTCTCCAGTGGTTTTCATCTCTCCCAGAGCAAAGAGCCCCCATGGTACAAACTCCTTGATCTCCTGATCTGGATGCTCCAGGAATGATCATTGTATGGGTTATGTGGACTTTCCTCTTTTGTCTGGTTCCTGATTTTTATTGGCCCATTCATTGGTGGGAACTTCCCCCCATCTGGCTGACTAAGGGGCTCAACCCCCAGACCCTTTGCCTCTGCCTTGAAAGGGCTTCTAGGTGTGAGTTGGATCCCCAGTCAGGGCATGTACAGACCACCTATCAGCGTTTCTCACACCGATGCCTTTCCCACTCTCTCCCAAATCAATGAATTATATATATCCTGTATGCATTGTCTTCTTTCAAGTCTCATATCACCCTGATGGGGTAGGGGAAGGAAGGGAAGAGTCTAGCAACAAAACTATAACCCTGGATGGTGGCAGGGTGCTCATGCTACTCCCTCCAGTGAGTCTCAGCCTCTGGCTCCCGCTGCTGGCTCCTGTCACCCCAGTTGCCTTTCTTTGTCCCCAGCCCTCCTGGTTCCTTGGGTGAACTACGGCCTCCTCAGTCAGACTCTGTCCCATTCACAGTTCCAGTGGCACCCAGGGACAGGGAGATGATAGCCCCTCCCTGGCAACTACCATAGCCCCCAGGCCCTGGCTCCTGGTGGCTGTGGGGTGCACAGCCCTTCCTGGGTGGAGGGCACAGAGACAAGTCCAGGAGCCAAGGTGTGACCACTCCAGGGGCTTTTTCCTGAGGAGGATATTGTAGTTTCCTCAGACTGGCTCCTGCTCCAAACATGTGCAGCCAGACATGCCAGGCTGGGTGGTGTCAGAGGCAGCAGCTCCACCAGGAGAGCCCGGGCTGCCCATTCCCCAGTGCCCTGCAGGCGGGCAGGCTCTCATACACTCACGCACACACCCCGCACACTCATCTGTGCACATACTCACATGCACCTGCTCTCACTCACACTCACCTGGAATTTTGAGTTGATTGCTCTGTGGTTTAGCTGCAAGGCTGGTCCAGGGCTGGGAGCAAGTGGACAGAGCTTCCAGCTACTTGACAGCCATCTTGGAACCTCCTCTATTTCTCATCCTTTCTCAAAGGCCAAATCTTCATTCTTAAGATATAGTCCTGGTTATTGTGCAAGTCACCTCATTATAGCTTTGTTCACAGGTAACTACTTTCCTCCAGAAATGATCCTTGGCCCAAGCATGTCATTTTCTTCTCCATGGTGTTCTGGTAAATAAAGTGCTCACAAGAGCTATGATAACACCTTTGCCCAAATAAATTTTAGATTAATAATTTAAAAAATAAATGCAGGCTTTATGCTTACTAGTGTTGTGTAGTGTAGAAGCTACTGTGGAAAACATTATGAAAGCTCCCCAAATTTTTAAAAATATAACTATCCTATGATCCAGCAACCTCATTCCTGGGTCTATATCCAAAACAACTGAAATCAGGATTTTGAAGAGATAATTTGCACTCTTAAGTATATTGCAGCATTATTCACAATAACTAAAATGCAGAAATAACCTAAATTCCCACTGACCAGTTAGTAAAGAAAATGTGCTGTATACATACAACAAAATATTATTTCAGTCTTAAAAAAAGAAGGAAATCTTTCAATATGAAAAAAAGTGGGTGAAACTGGAGGATGTTATGCTAAGTAAAATAAGCTCATTACAGAAAGGCAAATTTCTCTTATATAAGGTATCTAAAATAGTGAAACTCATAGAAGCAAAGAGTAAAATGGTGGTTACCAGGGCCTGAGGAGAGAGAGAAGTGGAGAGCTGCTATTTAACAAATATAAAGTTTCAGTTACAATTAAGTTCTAGAGATCTGCTGTACAACATCATGCCTATAGTTAACAATACTGCATTATACACTTAAAATGTTATATTACTGCAGATATTACTGTAGATGGGTTAATTTACAGATGACTAATTTACAGCATAATCAATAAATCTTTAAATCATGGATCAGTGGGGGGTTTTTTTGGTCATTATCTTGACTTTGATATCACTCTAGAAGTGTCCAGCTCTCCTCTGAAATAAGATCACTTTTACATTCATGAAGAATAAACCAATTAATTGATTGTTCCAAACAAATGTGTTGACTATATTTGTAGCCTGGGCAAATTATAATGATCCCCTTTAGTGAGTGATAACAGAAATGTCTGTTCAAAACTGCTCTCATACAAATTAAAAGAGATCATATTCATGAATTTGCAAGAGGCATCATGCTGGTCAGCACCATGTATTTGGACCCGTCAAAGTGAGCTTCAAATAGGGAGCCACAGAAAGCTAACAACATGTGTTCATTAAAAATCAAAATGTGTAAATGAGCACCATTTTCATCACCATAAGTTATGAATTTTCCACAACTCATGTCTCCTAGTGGAAATAGATTTTAGGTTTGGCAACAATCAGTGCAATCAGATTGTGGAGGGTTAACTAAGATTCATTCAGATGTTAATTTTTGTTTTTATATAAATGGTTAATTAGAGAAGGATATGATACAAACTGAATTACAGATACCATAGTGTTATTACTCAGGCAGTCACATGGCAACATTTACTAAGAATTTACTCTCTATGTTTATTAGAAGTGAAAGATGCCAGATAAAGACTTGTTATCTTTAGTTTTATTTATTATGATAAATGCTGTCTATGACAATTTACTTTCTGCAATGTCTCTTGGATAACAAATTTTCATCTAAAATTAAGAAATTCACACTTTAAATTATTCTAGTACCTTGACACCTTTTATAAGATTTATGATCTCACATTCTGCACTGTAGTCATTTCTGTAGATGGGCAATCACTTTAAAAATGTTTTTTTAAACAAACAAAAATTCTAGGGAATAAGACTAATTTACTATTAAATTAGATTTAATTTATGTTTGGAAAATGGCAGCTCACAATACATTTGAATCTAGGTGTACAAATCACACCAATGAGTGTTCCTCTTGTATTTAAGTAATTCTGCACTGTAAACGTCATATGTAGCATTTCCCCTATTTTTTACATGTGTATAATGTGTAATAGGAAAGCAAGAAGTTAATATTTTTAAAAAAAATAGTTATCTATAAAATATTGACTGAAACAAAGTAGAAAAGAGAATGATGCTAAGGGAAAAAAAAAACACATCAAAGATCCTTAAGTCTAGAAGGGTAGAGAGAACATTTCAAAGATTGAGAATTGACTCCTTAAACTAGCATCACCATCTAGGGTTTACTCACTTACTTAGGGTTTAATTTTCCAAAGGTAGTTGTGGTTTATGTATTCCTAACTGCACCACCTCTCCTTTTCCGGTCAAGCCTTTGTTCTTGAGATCACACATCTTTTCCCACATTATATTTCATGTTAGGCAGAATCTCTCCAAAGAGTACCCACCCTCTCCATTCTGATGAGGATGAATCATTCCAGAAATAGAGGTGATGATAGAACATAAAAGTTAAGGATTGCTTTCAGTTCAGCCAAAGCAAGCAGTTATTTTACATTATTGGTTTGATAGGAAGGACTGATATCTTTTAAAAATTTCTTCCCCACAGCCTGTCACCTTGAAATTCTATTCATTGAGTTCAAAGTCTTGGCCAGTACTTGGCAGAAAGAAGTAGAACATTTTTGCATTTAGGTAATGTTAATATCGGATTCAGGTTCAGTTTTTCTGCGAAGACAAAGAAACACATATTGTTCAATGATGATGGATTCAAAATTAAGACAAAATGTGAAGAAACACAAAGGAAAATTTAGAGTAATGATAAATATTACTTCTAATAGTATATAGTAAAAAACAAATACCATCAATTGGGAGAAGGGAGAGAGTATTTGTTGACTTTTTTTCCCTTGTAGTGAGGATTCTCAATAGAACAAATGATTGCCTTCTTTTGTGAAAATCTTTCACAAAACTTAGCACCTCCAGAAAAGCAGTCCCTCAGCTTACTATTCCCTGTTATCAGGATGAATGGATGCCTTGCTGGAAAAATGACAGTAATTATGCTACCAAACATCACCACAAATTTTCTCTGAGGAATCAGAAAGCTATAGGTTATGACAAGAAAGACTGCAATGTACATAACAAAGAGCAGCAGGAAGGTGATCACTGCCTTTTACTGTCCGCAGGTGGGCGTCTGTGCTGGGGGCGTTTCACTCTGCGGCATGAAGTTTCCTCTGCCTGGAGTGTCTTAAGGGGAAGCAAAATAACAAGAGAAATGAGATCAAGCAAATTCCAGATTCAGGGTAATCTGTTTGAAAAGATTTCGGATTTTACTCACTTCGAATTCCCAAGTTATATTTTCTTCTTAATTGACCTTGAAGTGATACCAAGAATCCTCAGTCAATGAAACACTAAAAATTAAAGAGATGAGAGATAAGAAGAATCTCAAGGATGACCTTGTTGATCTTTAGCTTCATCCAGAGGAAAAATGAATGTGCTCTATCCACTATCCTGAGTAAATAGAAGATGCTGATGCAAGAGGTAAACCAGATATTTGAATGATTGCTAAGCATCTGTAAAATATCCAAAATGTTCATTAGCTCACCATGGGCATATGTATCTGGAGAGAGCAGTATGAGAAAGCCATCTAAAAATATCACACACAACAAACAGATTCTGGAGATAGCTTCATGACCAGGATGATGTCGATCAAGGAACTATCTTTCCTTTTGGGCCAGCCAGTGCAGTTAACCAGTACAAAAAATCCATTTGCTCAAATTTTTACAGTCAGTTCACCAGCAATCAAGATCATATATGTTGCCTCCACAGTACTTGGCATGTCAGCAAAGTTCTGATTTTGAATATCACTGATGATAAATTGACTTTCGGCTGAGCAGTGAAGAGTGGTATGTGTCTGCCACTTAGGACATGCTGCAGTTGTTTTTATCTGTCTTCTTTTTCAGCTGTGATCCAGGTCAAGGAGAGAGAGTTGTGCTCTGGGTTAGAACTGCCTAAGAATTCACTGATGGAAGCCAGTGATTTCTTTATGTGAAGTGATGATTGAAAGGCTTTAGGATGCAAATAAGAATGGATCTGATTTGTTGGATTTGGCACAGTCTTTCTCATTTTCAATTCATCAGTCTAAGCAAGCTGTTGACCAGAAACGTCAAGAAAGAATCAATTCCTTGGAAAATAAGGCTAGAATTTAATTTGGAGATGTGGCATCATTGCCATCTTTAATGACTTACAACGTACCCCTAAATTGAGGACCATTTTGTACCAATGCAGGTTTTGGAGCTTACAAACAACTGTGAATTTAAAGCATAGGCAGTTAACAAATATAAATACTTTTAGCCTCAAAATATTAACTATTAATTAGGATCACTCAGGTAGAGGAGTAGTGGTTTTCAATTTTCAAGAAAAGGCAGCTATTTGACTTCTATCTCTATCACCCTGTAATGTGGAGGACTGAGTACTGAGTATACTCTAGTTTTGCCCACAATTATTCAGTTTGAGCTCATAATCTGTATTTGTATGTAACCTATTATGGTTAAAATATGACGGTCATCTTCTTAATGCTTTTGTAATAATCGGTGCCCATTTCAGACAGAACACATTTGATCAGATTTTTATTATTTGTATACTTTGTGACTTCATGATTTAAAGCACATAGAATGTAAATGTGTAAAACAATAATGCAAACTCTATGGGCATTCTTTTGCATTGGCTTTAATATTGGGTTGGCCAAAAATCCATTTTTTTTTCCATAACAGACACATTTTTCGTTTTCATCAATAACTTTATTGATTTGGATATTTTGAGTATGTTGGCTATTTCCCAGAAGGTATAACATTTATAATTCTCAGTTAATGCCTCGATTTGATCACTGTCAACTTCAACTGGTCTACCCAACTGTGGAGCATCATCCAGTAAGAAATCTCCAGCACGAAACTTCACAAACCACTTTTGACACATTTGATCGGTCACTGCAACTTCTTCATACACTGCAAAAATCTTTTTTTTCTTTTGCATTTCAGTTGTGTTTTTACCTTTCTTGAAATAATAAAGCATGATATGCCAAAAATGTTGCATATTTTCTTCCATCTTCAATATTAAAATGGCTACACAAAAACTCACCAATTTTGATTAGTGTTTTTTTTTTAATGCATGCCAATATGACAGCTGTCACAATGCAGTCTAACAAAATTGTTTTGAATAAAGTTAAAGACAACTAAGCACTACTAGAGCCATCTTAAAGAAAAAAGTGAACAAACTTTATGGCTAACCTTATATTTCACCACCTTAATATATAAGCTGGAGCCTTTAAGGTTTTGCTTTAACTGAAGGAACTGCCCTGTCAGAAGGAAAGGACTTGTTTTGATGACCTCAAGCAAATGCCCCATATCATTTGTACATGTATTGTAAGAATACTGGTAATAACAGACACTTAGTATGGGAAATTGAGACAGAGTCCCACCCATTAGGTAGCATTAAGAGTCAAGTATCTTTTCATATAATTAAGAGCCATTTGAATTTATTTTTTGTGAGTTGTTCATATTCTTTGCTCATTTTCCTACCTTTTTATGAATTTCTAGGGCATTATATATTAGAAAGATTGGCACTTTTTCTGTGCTGTGAATTGACAACATTGTCCCAGTTTGTTACTTGTCTTTGGCCTTTTCTTGTATTTTCTAAATGCAAACAGAAGTTATAAAATTTTATATAGTTATATTTATCAATCTTTTCTCTTGACTTCTGGGTTTTGGCTTCTAGCTAGAAAAGTCTTTTCCATTAAATTTTCCTGTATTTTTCTCTATTGCTTTCATGGTTTGCTTTATAAAAAAATTAATTTTGTATGTACTATATGTATAGTCAAATATGGATCCAACTTTATTTTGCTATAGATGGCTGTCTACTTGCTCTAACTTGCTAATTTACCTTGCCTCCCCTGTTTTGAGATGTCACCTTTATTTAAATGATAATTTTCATTATAAATCTATGAATCAAGTGGCTGTTGCTCTTGACCCTTGTCGTATTCATGACTAAAATGACTGTGACTATTCTATGGCTCAGTCATTTCTATGGCTATTTCTAACTGTGTAGGGGAACTTCTGATAATTTGACATTTTAAGTATTCAGCTGGTGACAGAAAATCAATGATATTCTTTGATGGTCTTGAAAAATTCTTTTACTTTTTTACAGCCGTAAGTCAGCTCTAAAAGCTAATTGTGTACCTAAGAGAATTACTATGTAAAATGTATTCACAGACTCATCAAGTCTCACCAAATAAAACTTAGAGCAATGATGGAAAAATGGTAGGACTTTAACACTGGGGATAACAAAATCTATGTGGACTTGGATAAACAAAACTAAGAACCGTAAACTCCTTTTCTAATGGAAGCAATCTAGCATCCTGTGTCAGAGGAAATTAACCTTGCTTTGTTCACAGAACCTACAGTAACCTCCACCCGGGACAGTTGCCTTGAAAAAGGATGTTTATTTTCTTCAAGATCCACTTCAACTCCCATTTATTGAATCTAGACCCCTGACCAAAGTCCCACTTAAGCATGCTCCAGGCAATAAGGGGAAAGGGAAGGGAAGGGAAGGAGGGTAATTACAAAGTCTGGGTAAAAAGTAAAATGTTTGTTCTCCAAACAAATTGCAAGATTTTGCTCATTTGTAATGACAGACACTGGAAGAATACACGTGAGAATGGACTCTAAAAGATTTAGACCAAAGAGGATAGAATTTAATACTGAACCTGGGCCAAAATGTCTTGATAAAGCTGCCCCTTCATAGATTCTGTGTTTAATGTGTTAGCTTGTGAAGGCACCTTTAACAGTTTACTTGCTTGGTTGGCTAGAGCTTCAAATAAATTCTTATTTACATTAATGAGATTTAAAGACAGAACTAGCAGAATGTAGAGGAAGGAATCTAACAATTTAGGAAGATAGGAATATTAAAGTTAATTTAGCATATGTAACTTTATATCTTCTTCCCATTATAGGATCTGAGAGGGTCCAAAGTACACTTCATTTACTAGGGCAATGAGAAATACATTATTGAGGGAATTACCAGTATCTTCGAAAAGCCCTGTAGAACCTGTCTTCTCAACAGACGGTGTGATAGTAATAGTCTGAGAAGAGTTTCCCAGTTTCAGTGAGGATGATGCAATCTTGAGGTGTTGGTGCCTAAAAATAAATGCAAATTGGACACAAATACTATATTGAATAGCAAGGACCCAGTGGTAAATAGAATACTTTAACCCTCAACTATTTTTGGTGTCATCTAATTGATCATAATGCCTTTAAGAATGGAAGAGATGGTTAGCCTATTAAAATCGTACTTGATCTTTGTAACAAGAGAAATTCTGTATGTGGTGACCAAAAAAACTGACTTGAGTTGTCACAAGGGAAAGACATGGATTTTACCTGATTTCCAATCCTAAGCCATTGTACAAATTCAGAGACCCTTGACTGAAGGAAAGGACAGATCCTCCAAAATGTATAAATAACTGATTTTAAACCACAACAAAAAAACTCATATAACACAACAGTAAAAAATTGATTAAAAATGGGCAAATCTAAATAGATATTTTCCCAAAGACATACAGATGGCCAACAGATACACGAATAGATGTTCAACATCACTGATCATCAGGAAAATGCAAATCAAAACCATAAGCTATCACTTCACACCTGTTAGAATGGCTATTGTCAAAAAAGATAAAAAATAAATGTTAGAGAGAATGTAGTGAAAAGGGAAACTTTGTGCACTGTTGGTTGGAATGTAAATTGGTGCAGCCACTATAAAAAACAGTATAGAGATTCCTCAAAAAATTAAAAATAGAACTATCATATTCTTCAGCAGTTCTACTTCTAGGTATTTATCCAAAGAAATCAATTCGTGTGTTCACTAAAGCAATTTTGCAGTAGCCAAGATATGGAAATAACTTAATTGTCCGTTGACAGATGAATGGATTAAGAAAATGTAATTTTTATTTATATATAATATTTTATCTTGTATATATGTACATAAATACAGTATGGAATATTGTTCAATTATAAAAAATGAACCTTGCCATTTGTGACAATATGGATGAAACTTGAGGCCATAATGCTAAGTGAAATAAGTCAGTCAGAGAAAGACAAAAAAGTATTTCATGTATATTGTATGTGAAATCAGAAACAAAGAAAACTGAAGAACAAAACAACAAAAAAACCAAGCACTTAGATCTAGAGAACAGATTGCGGTTGGCTAGAGGTGGGGAGCGGGAAGGGGGAAAAGAGGTGAAGGAGGTATTAAATATTTAAAAATAATAATAAAAATAAAAGTATGCTCTCAATTAAAAAATAAAACAAATAAAGCCACCAACAAAAACAAACAAAAAAAGGAACAGCAGTTATCACATTTAAATAATTTTTAACATTCATTATAGAAAAATTCAAACATATAGAAAGTAATGAGACTATTACAATGAACCCCCATGTAACATCACTCAGCTTTAAAAATATTTTAATATTTAATGTTTGAAAAAAATTTATTCCAGTTAATTAATCTGAGATTAATCATATTTTTAAACCCTTTATAAATGATTTGATCTTTTAATCTGGCTAACCAAAATATTCTTTTATTGGCATATGCCTAAGTTTGAACTATTCTGGGTCTATTCTACCTGGTAATGTTGTATTTTAAAATATATTCTATAGATACAAATATTTTATTACTTTAGAAATTACTTGTGAAATTACACATTTAAATATTTGTCACTTTCAATTGTTTTGTTTTTCTTCTTTAAGAATTCCAATTATTGAATATCTATATTGTGTATCTTTTTTG